GTAGAACCCTGGACGGTGAACGTGCAACCACCTACGGCCTCGGAGGTTTACGACTGCATATGTTCTCTCAAGCGCCACCGAGCTCACGGTCCGGATGACCTTCCACCCGCACTGGTCAAAAACGAGGGTGAAGTCCCCAGTCAGCGCTTGTCCGATCTGTTTGCTTGCATTTGGGAAAAGGAGTCTGTCCCAGACAAGTGGGGAGAATCGGTGTTGGTGCCCGTTTTCAAAACAGGGGCGCGTAATGAGTGTGGTAACCACAGGGGGATCAGCTTGACCCCGGTTGTAACGAGACTGTTGGCATCAATTGTGCTTCGTCGCCTTACGGTGGCTCGTGAGACACTGACTCGAGAGCAGCAAGCGGGATTCTAACCTGGTAGGGGGTTCCTGCAGTCAATAAATCAACAGATGCTTCATCGATCTGAACAGTGTGATATAGAATGTAGTGGGACAACAAAACGGTACTTTACTGATGAAGGATCAGGGTTAACTGAAAGTGGTCATTGAATCGGTCATTTAGACGCACCATTAGCGGAATGGCCTGAAAAGGGTATATCTACATATTCCAGTTTGCAGTTTATTTATTGCCTGTTACTGATGAACCTGAGGTTGGCTGGAGGCATAAGATTTGATTGACTGTTTGCAAGGCTACTCTGGTGTTTAGTTTAGACAGTTAATCATTTTCTGCCTCGAAGGTTGGAGCTCGAACGGCCTCAAGCATGTTCATTCCATCGTTGGATGAGGCTAAAAGGGCCTTTTTCGCCTCCTAGTAAAAGGTGCTTGAATGTGGTGTGGATTTCCTGTACCTTACAACGTTCATAGCAATGAAAGACCAACAGGTCAGTGTTTTGCTTGAGAAAGTGATTCTTCAGCATGTCTACGAGATCTACGCTACCATTAAACAGTCTAAGAAAACCAGCCTGGATTTGCCTTATCTGAGGTCCATGAGTGGCGATTCTAATGTATGAATAAAAATAAGCGATCAGTGTCGCTTGTATTTGCTTGATTTCACACGAATATTTTTGTTAATCCTCTTTGGGTCACTAAAATCTAATGTTGGTGGAATCCAGAGAGACCAAGAAAATTCAGCAATTGTGTTGTACTGCACGATGTATTTATCCGACCATGTTGAGTATGGATCTACAGGCCGCCCGGCAATCCAAATCAGACCGTTTCAAAACAGACGAGCATCTTGTCAACAACTGGCACTTTACTTACGAAATTGTAAATGTTTTACGTGAGGTTGTAGTGGTGTAATGCGTCAGCTGAAACCTGGTCAGTACGACCCTGCGGCCTAAGGCTACCGACATTTCAACTCAAGAACAAGCGTGGTATAATCAATTTGGCACAACAAGTTACAGTGTTCAAAACGTTGTGAGGCTCATACCTGGTAACTAAGATCACTTGCTTAGCGCATAGATTTGGCCACAGTTTGTGATGGTTCGCAGAGCGGCGTGAGGGCTAGACCGTGATGTATGTGAAAAGTGTTCAGCCAGGTATACTGGAACAGACAATGTAAACAAATCATCGGAATTCCCATAGCTGCATGAAATATTTTAATGGATATTGTCGTTCAAATACACACTTACTTCTCACGATCCACAGGTGAGATAGAAACAATGGTTCTGTGTCAGCAACGCGTCGACCTTAAAATGTTTTCTTATTGGACAGCCCACCTGTTTCACACGAGGCCTCAAATTCAGTGGCACTAGAGGTTTTCTACGCAATAATCCGGTATCCTTCTTCAACCTGCTGTGGATCTTACCACTTTTGCCACCCAGAGGTTACCGAAACAATATTAAATTATCTAAATAATTCCGCCTTATGGTTTGGCATGCGCTTCACACCTGCAATGCGTAAAGTGCTACTTCAAGACTGGGTGGGTTAGCCTCATGTTTGCAGATAAACCGGTTGAGGTAGTAGGCAAGTTTGTCTACCTGGGCAGCTGTATTAGCCCCGGTAGTCTCGCGAAAGGTGATATTTTCATCCGGATCGGGAAGGCCATAGCAGCTGTTGTGAACCTGCGTGACCTGTGGCGTAGACGCGACATCAGCTTCTCCGTCAAGGGTTGAGTTTACAATTCTGCGGTGCGCTTCATTTTACTATACGGGTCAGAAGCCTGGCCGCTGCGTGCCGAGGACGTCAAAAGACTTAAATTGTTTGACCATGGGTGCCTTCGGAGCATTGCCGATTCTGGTGGGAGCACCGGATCAGCAATACTGAAGTACGTCGAATGGTATTCGGGAGAAATAACTCACCATAAAAAATGAACTGATCACACTGCATAGGTTGCGCTGGCTTGACCACGTGCTGCGTATGCCGGTCGATCGACTCCCTCGAAGGGTTCTCGCACAAGCACGTAAAGGGTGGAAACAAACCAGAGGCGGTCAAACAGCGAAGAATAGAAGCCATTACCAGCAAACTCAGCTGCGCTGGTCATTATCGTCTTCCTGGATTGAGACACAGGGGGCCCTGACCCTAGCCTCTGACTCAAAAGCCTGACCCACGAGGCAGTGGGAGAATTTAGGGTTTTCTTTGGGGACCCTGCCCGGAGCCGATGACTCAATAGTCTGACCTGCTCGGCTGCAGGGGGTTGGCCTAACCCGAGGGCGCAGGGAATAAGGCATTACTGTCTCATTCCTGATGCGGCTGCGCACAGCAGGTGCCTTTTGAGCAGCACCGGGCTCTTTGGTTTTAAAAGTATTTCGACCGTATCGGATAATGCGCCGGCGGTCACGGTCAACCGTGGGCGATCGGAGTGTGTGGTTTTTGGGGCCGACCTTTTCTAACCCGTCCTTCCTCGGGGGAAGGCAGCATCGCTGCTTCCATAAATATGGACATGCTGGTCGCCTGGGGGAAACACCTTACTGCCTTCACAGTCCTGTCGCAGAGGACAGAACGACTACCCCCAGACCGCCTCGTAGCACGATTACTCGTAGTGCGGGGTCTCGCTGCTTTTGTTCTGGCTGCTCCCCTTTGGCCTTCCTGGCATGGTTGCACCTTGTGGAACGAAGTTCCTGCCAGTGTAGCCCGCGGGATCGCTGCAGCACTGAAGCCCGACCACCACGTCAGGATGGCAGCTTTAGGTCGGTGCCATAGCTGACAGGCTGATGCCACGGTGGTTTTCGCATAGCGTCCGTGTACCCTCTTCGAAGATAGGGATAACTGTCGACATGCCCCATTCTGCAGGCACTTTCTCTTCGTCCCACATAGTACCAATAAGCTTTGTCAGGTGGGTCACCAGGGAATTTCCGCCTTCTTTGAAGAGGGCTGGATACAGACCGTCCGGTCCTGGTGCCTTCTCACGTTTCAGTACGGCTATTTCATACCTTATTTCTTCTTCCTTGATCGCCCCTCGGAATCATTGGTAGTGTGTTTCTGGCGGAATTCCAGGATGATTTCTTCATCGTGCTTACCAAATTGGAACCATTAAATGTTAATTCAACTGCGCGAGACGTAGAGAATTGTTTGGAACGGTTTGACTTATGATGTCTTGCAAAATCCTATGTGGATGATAAGAAACTAACGGCGTATTTTCTACATCTTGTTGGCAAGGCGTATATATTGATCAAGAATTTAGTAAATCCTGCGTCTCCAATCGATATTTCTTATGATGCATTGAAGAAAAAAAGTTCTGCAACACTTCAAACCGATTAACTTCGTAGCAGCCGAAAGAGCTAGGTTCAATATGTTGATGCCCTCCCATTCTCAGTCGGTTGTAGATTTTGTATTACAGTCACAGACAGGCTGCTAAATGTGACTACGGTACCCAACCAGAAGGCCAATTGCGTCATAGATTCACTTCTGGTATTCAATTGCCCGAATGACAATAGGAACTGCTGCTTTATTCAGATCAACAACGTCAAACTGTTGAAAATGTGGACAATATGGAGATGTGAAACACATGACGAAGACTGATGAGAAGCAGTGTTGCTAACTTACTCTAAAAGAAATGATGCAGATAGACAACACATTAAAACCTCGAACAAATTTTCGTGCTCCAAATCCATTAATTCGTCGCTTCTCAGATCGTGATTCTAATTCAGTGGTTCAAAATCTTGCGAAATGTGAATCCTGTGGGTGAAATCATTACAGATATGCCATCACAGGCAAGTGGAGTGTTGTATCATCAGAAAAACTGGACGCATTCAACTAGTCCGTAAGTCCAGAAAAGTGTATCACTTAATCTCTGATCCTAATGCTGACCTGAAAGCATTAACTAAAGATATATCTGTCCCTTCTATATCTATTTCGCCCTAAAGTCCGTCAGAGGCTCGTGAAACTTTGATATCCGCTTCTGTTCAAAAACAATTTCATTCTTGACATTGGTGGTGTTGAGTCCGTTAGTTCACAGTCAGATCTAACGGTATTTCACCCCAGTATTGTGATAGTTCCTACAGAAGTCAATATTCGCGGTATCACTGGACGTTCTGTACCTCTAGTTGGTGGTTGTACAGTTCCTGTGAAACTTCCCCAAGGTAGCCCTCTCGACTGTAATTTCTTAGTTTTAACCTCAGTACCATCGATTATCGGGCTCAACGAACTTGTATTCGTAAATGAGAATGGACACAAACAACTGATACTTAAATGCTCTAAGTCTACAGCCGGCATGCGAATATCCAAGGTGAGAGTCGAAGGTACAGGAGATTGTATATTCCTCAATAGGCGAATTATTCCATTTGGCACGCATGAACCTGTTTATCAAGCATTAAATTCAATGTATGAGGAGGGAATACTGACTCCTGTTGAAATATCAAATTGGACAACTCCAATGGTTACCCCAATAAAGGTCCGTGGTATTACTCCGAGGTTTGTGGAGACTACAGGCCAACGTTACATACGCGGTTACTACAAAACACATGCAATACAGAAGGTCCAAGTGTGTTTTCAAAAATTGATCTAAAAGATGTCTATCTTCGAATACTACTGGACGAAGCCACTAGTAATCTTATCGTGATCAACACAGCTTTGGGTTATTCCGATACAATATCCTTTGGTCTGATTGTTTAATCAGCCGTATTTCAGCAAGTTATTAATACTACTACAGAAGATTTGGTAGGTGTTGAGACGTACTAAGATGATGTCATAGTGGACACTGCTGATAAAGCTATCCATAATGTGTGAATTGCCTTTGCTAAGGCGATTTTCTTAGTTAGGTATTACCATCCATCCTGATAAATTCACTTTCTCGGTTCCATCCTTTTCATGTCTTGGCCACATTGTGCATGGCAAGGGTTTTAAACCCGATACAAACCGTCTATTTTCCTTAGTAAATGCCACATCAACTAATCTACACATTGATCAGGTTGAGTTCAATACCATAGATGATCTTATTGTATCAGAACAATACGTCGCCTCTGAAGAACATACTA